TTCCTGTAATTAAGATCTAATCTTACTGCACTGTGGTCAGAAAAGATGACTGGAATGATTTCAATCTTTTTGAATTTACCAAGACTAGATTTATGGCCCAGGATGTGATCTATTCTGGAGAAGGTTCCGTGTGCACTTGAGAAAAAGGTGAAGTTGATTGTTTTGGGGTGAAATGTCCTATAGATGTCAATTAGGTCTAGCTGGTCCATTGTGTCCTTTAAAGTTTGTGCTTCCTTGTTCATTTTCTGTTTAGTTGATCTATCCATAGTTGTGAGTGGGGTATTAAAGTCTCCTACTATTATTGTGTTACTATTAATTTCCTCTTTCATACACGTTAGCGTTTGCCTTACATATTGCGGTGCTCCTATGTTGGGTGCATATATATTTATAATTGTTATATCTTCTTCTTGGATTGATCCTTTGAACATTATGTAGTGTCCATCTTTGTCTCTTTTCACAGTCTTTATTTGAAAGTCTATTTTATCTGATATGAGTATTGCGACTCCTGCTTTCTTTTGGTCTCCGTTTGCGTGGAATATTTTTTTCCAGCCCTTCACTTTTAGTCTGTATGTGTCCCTTGCTTTGAGGTGGGTCTCTTGTAGACAGCATATATAGGGGTCTTGCTTTTGTATCCATTCAGCCAGCCTTTGTCTTTTGGTTGGGGCATTCAACCCATTTACATTTAAGGTAATTATTGATAGGTATGGTCCCGTTGCCATTTATTTTGTTGTTTGGGGTTCACGTTTATACCATCTTTCTGTGTTTCCTGTCTAGAGAAGATCCTTTAATATTTGTTGAAGAGCTGGTTTGGTGGTGCTGAATTCTCTCAGCTTTTGCTTGTCTGTAAAGCTTTTGAGTTCTCCTTCATATCTGAATGAGATCCTTGCTGGGTAGAGTAATCTAGGTTGTAGGTTATTCTCTTTCATTACTCTAAGTATGTCCTGCCATTCCCTTCTGGCCTGAAGGGTTTCTATTGATAGATCAGCTGTTATCCTTATGGGAATCCCTTTGTGTGTTATTTGTTGTTTCTCCCTTGCTGCTTTTAATATTTGTTCTTTGTGTTTGATCTTTGTTAATTTGATTAATATGTGTCTTGGGGTGTTTCGCCTTGGGTTTATCCTGTTTGGGACTCTCTGGGTTTCTTGGACTTGGGTGGCTATTTCCTTCCCCATTTTAGGGAAGTTTTCAGCTATTCTCTCCTCGAGTATCTTCTCATGGCCTTTCTTTTTGTCTTCTTCTTCTGGGACTCCTATGATTCGAATGTTGGGGCGTTTCACATTGTCCCAGAGGTCCCTGAGGTTGTCCTCATTTCTTTTGATTCTTTTTTCTTTTTTCCTCTCTGCTTCATTTATTTCCACCATTTTATCTTCTAACTCACTTATCCTATCTTCTGTCTCTGTTATTCTACTCATGGTTCCCTCCAGAGTGTTTTTGATCTCATTTATTTCATTATTAATTTTTAATTGACTTTTTTTTTATTTCTTCTAGGTCCTTATTAAACATTTCTTGCATCTTCTCAATCTTTATCTCCAGGCTATTTATTTGTAACTCCATTTTGTTTTCAAGATTTTGGATCATTTTTATTATCATTATTCTAAATTCTTTTTCTGGTAGATTCCCTATTTCCTCCTCTTTTGTTTGACTTGGTGGACTTTTTTCATGTTCCTTTAGCTGTTGGGTATTTCTCTGCCTTTTCATCTTGTTTAGATTGCTGTGTCTGGAGTGGGCTTTCTGTATTCTTGTGGTCTGAGGTTCCTTTTTATTGTGGAGTGGGGTTGGACGATTTGTTTGTCAAGGTTTCCTGGTTAGGGAAGCTTGTGTCAGCGTTCTGGTGCGTGGAATTGGATTTCTTCTCTCTGGAGTGCAATGGAGTGTCCAGTAATGAGTTTTGCGATGGATCTATGTGTTAGGTGTGACTTTGGAGAGCCTGTATGTTGACACTCAGGTCTATGTTTCTGCGTTGCTAAAGAATTTGCGTGGTATGTCTTGTACTGGAGCTTATTGGCTCTTGGGTGGTGGTTGGTTTTGGTGTAGGTATGGAAGCTTTTGGATGGTCTCTTATTCCTTAATGTTCCATGTAGTCAGGAGTTTTCTGGTTTTCTCAAGATTTGGGCTTAAGTCTCCTGCCTCTGGATTTCAGTTTTGTTCTTCCAATAGTCTCAAGACTTCTCCAACTATACAGCACTGATAATAAAACTTCTAGGTTAATGGTGAAAAGATTCTCCACCGTGAGAGACAACCAGAGAGGTTCACAGAGTTACATGAAGAATAGGAGAGGGAGGAAGGAGATAGAGGTGATCAGGAGGAGAAAAAGGGGACTCAAGAGGAGAGAGACAGATCTACGCAGTTATCTGTTCCCAAAGTGTTCTCCGTAGCCCAGACACCCACAAAGATTCACAGAGTTGGATTGGGAAGAGAAGGGGAAAGGAGGAAATAGAGGTGTTCCGAGGTAGAAAACAGAGAGTCAAAAGTGGGAGAGTAATCACCACACTCCTGAATAGAAATGGGAACTGAATATTGGATTGTTAAATGACCAAAATTTATATCACATACTACTGAAAAACAAAGATTAAAAATCTAGTGTAGAGGTTAGACTCTTTGAAATACAATATTTAAAAACAAAAACACACAAAAAAATTTAGAAATGTATATGAAGTTAGATTTAAAAATAGGGTTTTTCTCTCTCTCTCTCTCTTTTTTTTTTTTGGCAAGGTTATAGTGAAATGAAAATGAAAATTAAGGAATAATAGAGGAGTATTAGAGGACTTTAAAAGGAAATAGGAGAGAAAAACAAAAAAAAGAAAAAAAAAGAAAAAAAAATTTTTTTTCCCTAATTAAAAAAGTCATAAAAATATATGAAAATGAAAGTTGAGGAGTAATGGGGGAGTAATAGGGAATTTTAAAAGAAAATAAAAGAGAAAAAATTAAAAAAAAATAAAAAAGGATAGGAAAAAAAAATTTTTTTTTAAATTAAAAAAAATTATATATATATATATATCTAGGAATTTCTCTGGAGTTGTTGCAGTCAGCGTAGGTTCAGTTCAATTTCAGATAGCTCCTCTTTCCAGCTTACACTTCTCGATATCTGTAGGCCCCTTCTGGTGTAGTTGGTGTTACCTTCAGGGATTTTAATCTGTTGCACCAGTCCTTTCTGAAGCAGTTCCCTTTGTTTATTTGGCTTCTGTTGCCGTCTCTTTAGTGTCTAATTTCCGCCCTGACACAGGCGGGTGGAGGTGATCTCTTATTTGGGTTCTCTAGTTCAGTTCAGTCCTGCTACGGGGAGGGCGGGGCGCTGCAGACAGATACCGCTCTGTGTGGATAGCACTCACCGTGTTCCGGCCACACTGGGTTTGCCCCGCTCACGGGTGTCAGTGCTTTCCCCGTCTGCACTGCTCAGGCTCCCGGCTGCTCTATATGGAGCGGGCCCTGCGTTGAGTGCGGTTCCAGTTTTCGGGTACTCCACAAAAACGCAGATTTGGTTGCGCCTGCGTTTTGTGCCTTCCCCGGCCTGAGCGGTTCAGGCAGCCAGAGGCTTGGGCACACTCTCCCCGGATGCGGCGCGCCTTTTCCCTCTGCGGCAAGCGGCCCAGGCAGCCAGAGGCTTGGGCGCAATCTCCCCGGGTACGGCGCGCCTTTTCCCTCCGCGTCGAGGGGCCCAGGCAGCCAGAGGTTTGGGCGCACTCTCCCCGGATGCGGCGCGCCTTTTCCCTCCACGGCGAGCGGCTCAGGCAGCCAGAGGTTTGGGCGCACTCTCCCCGCGTACGGCGCGCTTTTTCCCTCCGCGGCCCCAGCGCGCGCCGCCAGTCGGGTCTCAGGAAGTCTTTAAATAGGAACCGGGGGCCTGTTTGCAGTGTGGGAGGGGGTGGCTTCTCAGGGGCTGAGTTTGCCCTTTTCCCCTACCCCCTGCCTCCAACCTCCAGCGGGGATGGCCCGGCTCTTCTCTGGACTTTCTCAGTCCCTTTTTTTGCGAACCGCCGGCAGTGTGTTCGGGCCCTAAGCAATGCCGCCCGCTCCTCTCCATCCCACCCCCGCTTGTTGCTGGCGGGTACGGGCGTCTGGGGTACTTTTCTGCTGGGAGTTGCTTTTAGGCACGTAATCTGTGGGCCTTGTTTAATTTTTCCTCCCAGTTAGATTGCTGAAAACTTCCCCCAGTCCCGCCAGTGCGAGGGTTTCCTGGTGATTGGAAACTTCCTCTATTAAGACTCCCTTCCCGGGACGGGTCTCCGTCCGTAGCTCTTTTGACTCCCTTTTTATCTTTTATATTTTGTCCTACCTCCCTTCGAAGACAATGGGCTGCTTTTCTGGGCGCCTGATGTCCTCTGCTAGCGATCAGAAGTTGTTTTGTGCAATTTGCTCAGCATTCAAATGTTCTTTCGATGAATTTGTAGGAGAGAAAGTGGTCTCCCCGTCCTATTCCTCCGCCATCTTCCTGTTTCTTTTTCTTTTCTATATTCCTGTTCTCTCCCACCTTGCTATATTATTGAAATGATCAGAGAATGGGAAGTGGAGAATGTGGAGCAGCTCCAGGATAGTTTCTCTATATAATATTGCCAATAAGCTCCTTAAGGGGTTTATGTTCCTTTTCTCCTCTATGTAACAAACCAGAGAATAGAAACCCTGTTTTGGAGAAATTCTACTACTGATGATTTAACTCATCCCTCTCAAATTGTGCCTAGGGGAGGATGTACCTAACAGTGTTGGGATGTTTGTGGTCACTGCCTTCACCCCATTTGGGCCAACTGATCTTGAGAGACTTGCTCAGCACCTCACAGAATTCATGCTCCTCCCAGAACTCCCTGCTTATGTTGAAGATTAACTCCCGCATCTATTCTTATCAGTACACCTAACAGAGGCAACTCGGCACCTGTCTGCTGGGGATCTTTCCTCAAATCCTCTAGTGCCTCTGGAGGCTGCGATGGTTGGTGGCAGTGGCTGTTGGTGAGTACACAGCTCTTCATATTTCTCTCTAATGGCAGATAACAGCCAGTGCAGGCCATCAACTATAGGTTGATGGCTCCTTCTTTGGAGGTCTTTGATGACTGAACAGGTTCCTGTGACAAAAAGGGAAGACTTCAGCCCAGGAACTTGGGACTTCTTGGGCCCATAGTCTCAGTCACCCTTAGCACACAGGTACACAGAAGCTCTGCTGTACCTAGAGAGGCTCTTAAGACTTCCTAAAAGATACTGGACATTTACTCCTGAGAAGGTAAATGAAAGGTACAAAAGCTAGGTCCTTTAATCAAGTGTCAAGTCTTGGATGTATAACCTCGGACAAGACACACAGAGTCTCTGAGCCTTGGCTTTCTTAACCATAAAATGAGGCTACTGAAACTTCCAGCTTTAAAGAACTATTTTGCAGGCCTAATGAGAAAACAGATGCAAAAGTGTTGTAAGTGAGTGGTACTTATCACCATTGAGTCAGAAATCATTACCATACTTGTCGGGGAGAGGCTTTGCCTGAGATCTGGCATAGGAAACTGATTATGGGCTGTGGAAGGCATCAGCCTTGGTTGAGAGGACAAGGGAAGGGAGGACTGGACACTTAGTTACCACTCGGCACGGAGACTTGTTCTCATTCATTAGTCTCTCCAGCAGCAGATACTCAGTGATATCACCAGGCGGCAGAGCATCTGTCTTATCCTGCTTATTGGCCAGGCTAAAACCAGGCATTGGAAGATTTTGAGGGAAGAAGAGAGGATGAGTGAAACTGAGAGAGAGACCAAGGACAAGAAAAGAAAGGAAAGAGGGGGACATCCAATTCTGGTACAGCTGCTCCATATCCAGGGACTAGCTTTTAAGCCATACCCAGTAAGGTGAGCCAGACATTTAGCCAGCTCTCAATGGAGGAAAGAAAAGCACAAGTAATTTGAATCAGAGATAATCCCCAAGCCTCATTTCTCACTTCTACACTACACCATCAAACTTTAATTAGAATTTCTAACCGGGATAGGAACAAATTTGGAGCTTTTATACCCTCCCCTAAACTCTGTTCATGCTTGAGCTGGGGGTGCTAACAAGGAATAAAAAAGGCTAAAAGGGGGCGGGGAGGATTGACAGGCCACCTGAACTATCACCCTGGAATAAGAGGTAGTGGCATAAGTCTCGGGCAGTCTGCCAAGGGAGCAGGCTACTTGCATTGAATATACAACACAGGAGTTTTCTGCCTTCATCTCAGGGTCAGAGACTGAAGCCAGAAAAGGGAAGCAAATGTAGGGAGGAAGTCTTCAGGAAGAGTCGACAGATGGGCGAGGAGGGTGTGTGCATTTCCCTTTGATGCTTGCCTTCAAAATTACCTTTGCACAATTAGCTAACAGGTTCCCCCATGGCAGTGTCTGGTAGAAAGTGGCTCTTGAAAACAGCCCATAGAGGACTTGGCCAAAGAGGAGAGGCGGTCTAATTGGATGTGACAGAGGGACCACCTAGCCCTTCCTCTGTCTACTTCTCTTCTAAAGGCTCAGAATGGGAAGGGGAAATTGGACACAAAGGTAGACTCTTACAGTAGGATGGGTTTCCCAGCCACTCTTTCATCAGACAGCAGGTTGGGTAAGATGACCTTCACTTCCTGCATGTGCTCCAAGTCGCTGGAATCCGGGACAAAAACAAGCCCATGTGCCTGAGCATAGTCGTTTGGCCAGATTTCGCAGCCCTGCATGTCTCCTTTCAGGTCATAGACGGAAACTTCATAATTATCCACCAGGAGTGTGGTTAGTTCAGAGTTTGAACAACTGTCCATCTTACTCCTACTAGGCAGTTCTATGCATAGGGGAAGAGAGGATGAAAAATTTGTTAAATGATTACCTGGACCTTGATTAGAGCCTGCCCTCAGGAATCCTATGGAGGTGTCCTGCCATCCTGCTCATGCTCACTGATTCATCTTCCTAAACCAGCACTTTGCCCACACTACCCTATCCTGGCTCAGTAAACTTCCTTGAGTGCCTGCTGCTCTGAAGACAGAATACAAACTCTTTTAACTCCTAACCTGCCAGATCCATTTTTTCCCTGACTGATATTCAGGGTCTCTGATATCCAGCCTCTTCCTCCCTTTGCTTCTTGACTCATGTGCCTCCCTATCCCCCATTCTACATGAGTGTCAGGCTCTCCCTTGCCCTGGGCCTCCACAAGATACTATTCCTACTGGTTAGAACATTTCTCCACTACTCTGCTTGGTTAACACCTATTTTGTTTTTAAAATGTCAATTCAGATCTTGTTTCTTCTAGAAAATTTTCTCTTAACTCACACTACCATCCCCAAGTCCAGATAAGGTGCCTTTCTTCTGGGCTTACCACTACCATAGCACATGTATGCTTAGTCGCTCAGTCATGTCTGACTCTTTGTGACCCCATGGACTGTAGCCTGCTAGGTTCTTCTTTCCATAGGGATTCCCCAGGGAAGAATACTGGTGTGGGTTGCCATGCCGTCCTCCACGGGATCTTCCCAACTCAGGGACTGAACCCAGGTCTGCCGCATTGCAGGTGGATTCTCTACCGTCTGAACCACCAGGGAAGCCCATGTTACAGAGTTATAAATTCTGTGATTTATTTATCTGGGTTATAAACTGCAACAGGATAGAAACCCCTTCAGTATTTACTATTATATATTCACAATGTCAAGCACAGTAACTGGCAGACAGGTGTTCAATAAATATTTGTTGAATGCATCTGATGAAGCTCTTCTCTCCCATCCTTTCTTTAAGGCCCAGCTCAAGTACCACTTTCTTTAGGAATCCTCGCTGACTGGCCCAGCTCTCACTTCGATCTCTAGTTAAGCACATGATGTGTTAAATTGGTCCTTCACCTCATTCTGTGCATATCCTGCCTCCCCAGTGAAAATATAAGCTCTGTGAGGGAGGGGCTCTGCATTCCCTTACACATAGTAGGTGTTCAGTAAATGTTTATGGGGCCTGTTACTGTGGAGGAGAGTATGAAGTCCTCTTCCTCTCATTTCTCCTAGATACCATGCCAAACTCAGACACCTTTGCCCTTTCAAGGCTATGGCCAGACCATACAGTCCCACAGGGCATTCCACCTTTCACTCAGCCCCCAGAGAAATGCAGTTCAGCATTTCTATAGACACATTCCAGTCTATTAAACTGAGCCTGGCCTAGCTCTCTGCCCATGTTAGTAGCAAGATGATTTTACAGATTCTCTACACTCATACCTGGGAGTTGTAAGACCAGAATCAGTAGCTTCTTATTTCAAATTTACATGGGAAATTTTCTAAAGGATTGCCAGAATAAGTTGCTTAGCTGAGAAGTTAACAGGATGCTTTCAGATCTTTGGAAATGTATGACTATACACACATTTATGTGTATACATAATATGCCTCTATATATGTATATATGTACATATTATTACATTTTACTATCATCTCATAATGTCCTCTTCTATTTTTATGTTAGTCAATGATTTAATTATAGCTTTCACAGAACATATAATTTTCATTCACAATTTTGTGTTATTTGTTACGTCTGTATTAGACTACCTAAAAATAATAAGTGAATAGGTTAAAACTCTAAAGGAAATTTTTAAATCATGTTTTCTATATCAAAGCAAGCTTTATGTTTTTTCCCTGTTATTTCTTTTTATTTGCAGCCTTACCCATTCTTCAATAATTCAATCTATTGTTGGCAAATCCTAGAAACCATCAGAAGTTGCTCTCTGACGATTTACCTTTATCTTATTTTCTCTATTAATTTATAAACACTCTGAGGACAGGTACTGAGTCAAATCCATCTCTGTCCCTAGGAGAATGCTACATAAAGCATAGTTTGAGGATCATCTGCTTTAGAGTTACATGAGGGTGATGGTTAAGTCCTACCCTGTGCCAAATGAATAACAATCTATACACTTGGGACCCAAGCATCTGTATGTTTAGCAAACTCCTATGTTTAACAAAATCCCCAGGTGATTCTTCTCACCTTACATTTTGAGACTCACTGCCTTAAAGAGCAGTAGAATTTATGCCTATTGTGTCTCAGCATTATCTGGTGCACTTGTTAAGATTTTTGATTCCCTGGGCCTTCTCCAGGCCCAAATATCTGAACCTTCAGGTCCCCTGTGAGTTGGTGTGATTCTGATTTTTAGCTCTCAGTACCCACTATGCACCAGGATCACCTGTGGAGCACTTAAAACCTATGACACTAGGCCTCATTATTTGAGAGAGATCTGGGGTGGGGCTCAGACAGCATTTTCTTTTAAAGTTTGAAATATATAGCTGGGTTTGAAACTGCTTTAACTGCCCTTATATAGAGCACTGCTGGTGCTCATGCTTGGATCCCTTGCCCCATATGACCATGCCAGACAAAATAGTTGTAGTGAATGATGTTGATAATAATGGCTTATGTCCCAAAATATTTTATAGCCAGTGTCTTCAAATGTTTACACAAGTTACTGCTTGTAGATTGGAACTTCCTCCCTAGGCTATTATCTGTTTTCAGCAATTATAAACATTTGCAGGAGCTTATAGGGGGCAAGCTATTGCATTTTGGGTACAAAGGAGTCTACTAGTCTCTGGAAGTCCTACATGGACAGAGGTGGCCTGAGATAAATCTTCAGAATGTGACATCAGTGGAAATTTGCTTTTTAGCCACAAAAACGTCTTTGTGAACGAAGTTTATGAATCAGCCCCAAGTGTATTCATCAAGCACAAGGCAAGTTAAACAGTAACAAATTAGACTGCAAGCTCTATCTTCTAGGAATTAGAATGGAAAGCACATGTTATTCTCATAGACAAAATAGCATAAGGCTAATTACAGTTGAGTGCTTCCCAAAGGTGGCTATTAGAAAGGTCTGGGGTGTTCTTAAAATATATATTCCCAGGCCGCACTCAGACTGGATGGGAATCTAGGGGTGGTGCTGAGTTGGGCTCTAAAAATTATTTCCTTTGTCAGTAACCTTGTGATTTATCTTGACTCCTTGATTTTCTTGCTGCTGCTTACCTTTTTTTTTTTAAATTATCATTCTGCCAATCAGAGAACTGGGAGAGGCAGAATCAAGTTTGCTGCCTGTAAGGTGGAATACCAGGCTGAACCACTGGCTGAAATGTCAAGGTATTAAAATGGAGATTTGGTATTAAACTTGCATGTCTCTGAACTGACACCATTTCTCAAGCTCCAACCCTCTATATGAACTGTCACAAAGAGTTTCACGTTACTAAACTTCATCATCCCACACTTGTCTCTCTTATCTAGACCAAATTCCACTTGAATTGAGCTCTGAAACTAGACATTGTTTCAAACTTGCTATCCTTCCTAATCAACTCCAGTGCTTTGCATAGTCTCAGTTCATTCATACTGACACTATGAAAAGACCTTCAATTAGCATATCTTGTAAAGGGAGCAGGTAACAGACATTACATAAACAGGCTGGTAACACCTGAGGAGAGGAGTGTATGTGTGTCTTTGTGTGTGTGTGTCTTGTTTGTGTGTGTTGGGAAGTGTTTACCTTCATATGAGATAACTTGAGGGCCATGAAGTAAGGGTAAGAAGGAATGATATTTCATTGGTCACTGGGACCCAGGGGAGACCTAAACTAGTATCTAATGCTCTCAGTTCCTTACCTCTCTGGAACGCCTCCACAAGAACAGTTTTGCCTGAGTTGTCCAGTCCAATGGTGATGATGGCTACATGTCTAGAAATGGAAAAGAAAAATGAGTCAAAGCCTTAAAAGTACTGTTAGTTCTTAGGCTAAAGAAAGAATTATACTCTTGGTGTTTGGGGCTCTGCCTGCAATAGTCCCAATGCAGTCATAAAGGCACAGCCAGGTGGTAGAAGGTGGAGTGGGAACTACTCCCCAAAATCTCCAAGGATACTTTGCTTCCCTGATTCACTTGCCTTGTAGAACTGGCCATCCTCCCCCAACCCTGCCCCTAATCTTGTAGACGCTACTTAGTCATGCCCCCTAATAATATATATCATAAGGATTTGTCCTGTGAGGGACTATGGGCAGGTACATTGGAGGAAATGGTGGAACAGGTCTAAGGAAATAATTACAGTATTACCTTTGGGTCTCTTCAGTTGTCTTTAGACGAGACCAGCAGGAGGTCAGAAGCCGGAACATGATTCAGCTTAGTTCTTTAATATTAAGGGAAACCAGAAATTAGCCCCATGGTTAACTCTGAACCTAAATTAGCTTATGAATATGCAGAAACTGATAAACAGACTTGGATTGTCAAAAGTCCATTATTTCATTCTGTCCAACCTTGTTTATGTCATGGGTGGGGTGCGGGGGAGCCGATTGTCATCAACTCTAGTGGCAAAACAGTGATTTCTTATTAAAGCAACCTACACAGGCATGATGGCATCAGGTGTGGCCTATCCCTTCAGCCATAGTTCATCCCTGTTAGGAATATCTTTATTCAACCTTGGAATTGGGGATGGAGGTGGAGAAATGCGTTGCTAAGTAAAAAGGGTAATTTAGACAATTGCTTCACGGTTAATCCATGTTGTAGCATGTGTTAATATTTCATTCCCTTCTATGGCTAAATAACATTCCATTGTATGAATATACCATATTTTTTTATCCATTCATCAATTGATGTTTGGATTGTTTCTACTTTTTGACTCTTATGAATAATCCTGCTATATATATATGTGTGTGTGTGTAGGATTGTATAAGTTTTGTATGGACATATGGTTTCAGTTCTCTTGAGTGTATACCTAGGAGTGTAATTGCTGGGTCATATGATAACTTTGTGTTTAACCTTTTCAGGAAGTGCCAGATTGTTTCTATATTTTATATTCCTACCAGCAGTTGAGGATGGTTCCAGTTTCTCCACATCCTTATCAACTCTCATTGTCTTTTTGTTTATAGCCATATTAGTGGGTATGAAGTGTTGTCTATTGGGCTGGTCAAAAAGTCCATGAGATCATGAGAAAAACCCAAATAAACCTTTCGGCCAACCTAATGATTGTGGTTTTGATTTATATTTTCTTAAAAATGGGGCCCAGAGCTGGGGGGAGCTCTGGTTGGGTTACCAAAGTACTTAGGCTGATACTCAGATGGGCTTTGGTTAGCTCTCTGATGATTATGTGGTGAGTATGTGTCTGCTTATCAATGGATAACTTAGCAGGATTCTGCAGAATCACCCACTGTTTTAGAGAACTGCTATCCCCAAATAGAGACTCACATTTCATAGCATTTCTTAGAGCATTGTTCATTCCCTAGGAAATCATTCAGGTTCCCATAAGGACCTCCTGGAAAATAGGTCTGGCTTATGTCCTTCCAAAGGGAAACCTGATATGTGGCCTGTGATCAAAACCAGCCTTATTCCAGCTTTGCTCATGAAGCTGATAAGACCAGGAGCCTGAAATGCCAGTGATTGTCTGGGTTCCATGGTAGCCATCTCCATTTAAGACAGGAAGTAGCAGCTTCATGTCTGTTTCCTGATAATTGCAGAGCTTCCTAGCTTGATCTCAGACAGTCTGTATTTGTTAAACCACTAAGAAAGGTCCAACTGGCATCACACAAATTCTTCCTTAAGAACATATCTTAAAGAAGGATAAGTAGGATAACCAAGAAGGAAAATAATTGGACTAGGGATTATCAGGTCCTTTCACTTCCAGCACCTCTCCTGGGTACTCTAGGATGAAATCACCTAAATTAAACCTACCATTTTCAGAATTCTTATCTACAGAATGAAGATAATGATATATTTTGCTTACCTTGAGGTGGTTAATTATGTATCTGATTATAAGTTGGTTCTTTTGAGAGAAAGACTTAAAATGGGTAGAATAATAGGAAGATGTGTTGCCCCTTCTAGCCTTCTTGCCAGAGTTACAAAGCTCAGTTGCCCCCTTATGAAAGGTAATGCAATGTCCTAACAATGGCTGTCAAGGTTCTGACATATCCATGGTAACCACTGCTTGGTTTATAGCAGCCAAACTCATATCTCCCTACCTTGTCTGATTATATAGCTAATTGCTAAATGAATTTTTAGTCATCACGTTTTTAAGTTTACAAAGTATCTACATAGAACTTACAGTGTGCCGGCACTCATTTAAGCAATCTATACATACTAAACTCATTTAATACTAATAACATGGCAAAAAGTAGGGGCCATCATTCACAAAAAGGTTAAGTAATTTGCCCAAATTTACCCATTTAGTAAGTGGTAATGCCCAGAATTCAAACCCAGGTGGTCTAGTTTCAGAGTCTGTGTATTAAAGGTCTCACCAGCTGTGTGAGTGAGATTTTCAGGGGCCAGAGAAACTACCACAGCTCCGGGCCTATTCCATCTTTTCTGGACAAACTGTATTGTACTCCTTAAGTCAACTTTAAAATAAACTTTTTTAAGAACAGTTTTAGATATACAGAAAAGTTACAAAGATAGTACAAAGAGTTCGCATTATACCCTGCAACCTGTTTTCCCCCGTTATTAATAGTATTAATCTAACACAAATAGACTGCCAGTTATTTTTCCAGCAAAAATAGGTTTATTCAGGATCAACAAAGAATTACAGTTTGGGGTCTGCAATCATGGCAAGTCACACACAAGTACCCCTCACAGCAAGGAGGGGGAAAGGTAGTTGGGTGGGCTATACTAAACAAAAGACTCTATTGGGGGAATTTAGAGCTTGAAGTATAGTGGCTTTTCATTGGCTGAGTTGTGGCAATCTCTCATTGTTGAGTTGTGGCAATCTCTCACTGGCTGCGCTCTTGCCAGGCAAGAAATGGAAGTCTTCCTGTTGGGCTCTGCTGTTGTCATAGGGTGTGAGAGCTCCTCTTTCTGACCTCCTATTCTAATTGTGATTTTTATTAATTTTTACGTTTCCTCCTTTTGATCTTGATCTTTCACTGAAAGGGCTTCCCTGATGGCTCAGCAAGTGAAGAATCTACCTGCAATGCAGGAGACACAGGAGACATGGGTTCAATCCCTGGGTCGGGAAGATCCCTGGGAGAAGGAAATTGCAACCCACTCCAGTATTCTTGCCTGGGAAATCCAGACAGAGTAGCTATAGCTGGTGGGCTATAGTCCGTGGGGTCGCAGAGTCGGACACGACTGAGCACGTTCTCCAGATGATCTTTCTCTGAAAGCAGTGTGGGTTAAGACTCAGGTTTTCTGGTTTCAGTGACTTTTTGTCCCTCAATGCCAGAAAGGTTAAACAGTGCAGGAGCCAAGTGCATTGAGTGTCCTGTGACTATCTCAAAGGGTGAGAGTTTGAATTCCACAAGGGATGGATATAAGATTTAGAAGGATCAGTGGCAGTGCTTTTGGCCAACATATATGGAGGGCCCATGCAAATTTTGCCAATTGAATTTTAATAATTCCATTAGTGCATTTGACTAGACCAGAGGATTGAGGATGCTAAATGCAGTGAAAGTGTAAAACTGGCCAAACAGCTCCAAAGCATATCAAAGTATCTGACCAGTAAAATGGGTCCCTTGATCATTATGAATTGTGGGAGGATTTCCCCAGGTAGGGATAATATTTTCCAGAAAGACCAGCCACAGAAGAAGCAGTAGCCTGTCTGCAAGGGGAGGCTTAAGTCCAGTGTGAAAACATTCACACCATGACCAAAGCATATTTATATCCCTGAGATGGAGAAAGTTGTATTGAATCCAATTGCCAGACCTTGCATGGTCCATTAGACAGTCTAAAATGCTTGGAAACAGTAAGAACAGGCTTCCCTGGGTTGTCCTTTGGATTAGTGGGGCAAGTGAGGCAGGCACTTTCTGCAACTTTGTAAATGTTTCCCCACCAATATTGATTCATGAAAGCTAGAATTTTGTCAGTAGACCAATGATCTAATGCATGTACAATGGTTAGGAGTATAAATTTTGGAATCTCTAGTAGGACTGAGTTGTTAATTTGATCTGAATCAGAGCTTTTTCTTTTTATCAAACAAGGAGTTTAATTCCCAGTCTTTTTTCTTTTCTGAGACTTGTTGGGCTTCTCCAGCCAGTTTTTCTAAGTTATCATTTGGGGGAAAACTCCTTTGTATCATGACAGAAGTTTGACTGCTTTTGATTCCTTTAAGGGCAGCGTTCCTTGTAGAACTGCCAGCAAGGTAATTTCCTTTAGCTTCCAGGGAGTCAAGTTACGAATGCCCTGGAATTTTAATAATAAGTGGCAGGTAAAAGTACTTCATTCACTAATGTTTGAACATAGGAGCCATTTTAAATTTTATCTCTACTGAAAGTTAGCAAGCTATGTTGCTTCCACAACATTCCAAAATCATGATCTTCTCCAACACTGTATCTACTATCAGTATAAATTTTGTCGGTTTTGTACTTGGGTAAAGTATGAGCTTGTGTAAGATCATATAATTCAGACTTTGGAGATGAAGCAGCCATTGGTAAAGATGCTGCCTCAAAAACATCGAGAAGAGTTGCAGTAGCATACCCAGCACAGTATTTACCATGATCACCTTTTAAGTAAGAACCATCAGTGAACTTTGAGAAGTCAGCATTACCCAAATTATTTTCTTGCAGGTCATCACAAGGCATCAGGATATGATCCATCAGTGTTAAGTAGTGGTGAGAGACTTCACTGGTGATGGAGGGCAGAAGAGCAACAAGGTTAAGCTTATTACAACCTAAAAGAATTATGTGAGGAACTTAACAAAAGGACTTCTTAGGAGGTGAGGCGGCTGACTGAGAAATATTGAGTGTGATGAGAATTCAGAAGGGCTTCTACTGCATGAGGTACAAAAATGGTTGAAAGGAATCCCACCTTAATCTTTTTGATGACCTTAACCAAAAAGGCAGTGGCAGTATGGCTCTAATGCGAGTTGGAAAGACAACTTAGAAGGCTGCAGGCACCCAAGGTGCTTAATTGGTAACAATCTTTTTGTCTAATATCTTGGCTCATTGCAATAATAGCAGGGTAGAACTGTGCCACAGAGTACAGTTGCTGGCTTTAATACCCTGTGGATAGATGGTGGTCCTAATGTTTTTGGGTGAGTACCCCAAAGGCATTATCTTCCTTTTCATATATAAAAATGGAAAAGAGAATCTGATCATTGGATGCCCAAGAGTGTGTGGGTTCATCAAACTCTCCTTTAAGGCCTTAAAGACTATTTTATCTGGTTCTTCTCATAAAATTGGGTTGAGGTTGC